CTTCAGTGTGAAACAGGTTGTCACCACATAAGAGCTCTGTCCCTCTAACCCAGCATCTCCATAGCACCACAACGCTGAACTATACGGCCACAAGATCTTATTTAGCAGAATTCACACAACTTTTTCAACCTTCAAACCCCAATCAAGATGAAATTAATAAGATTAATTATTATACTGAAATGAGATGAAGAATGTAGAAGAGATTCAGCACACTTAAACGCAAGTGATATGGAACTGCTTTGTCTTTTTTTGGCTTTGTTGCTCAATGATGACTCTAAGGGACGAAGTGTGGTGTACCCTGTCAAATTCAGGAATGATTGTTTATACCAAAGTCAGAGACTACTCCTGATGCAGTGTTGAGAGACAGCTGCTTCCTCTACATCATCCCTGAGCACTTTACGTTTGCAGTGGGAAACATGGAAATTCTCAAAGCTTGGTCCTTTCGTCCCGTGTTATCAGACAAGATCACCCACCCCACACCAGTTTGTAACGTCACAAAAAGCAGCAATATGGAGGTAAAAAACACCCTTAGATTCTCCTAGAACAGACCACAATGTATTTGACTTCCTAAATCACTTGCAAACCTAGAAATACATTGGAACTGCTCTCAGTATTCCCTAGCATGATGCTGGTGCTTTAAGGAACCAGGAAACAACACTGATTGTTAACAGCAGCAGTAAGATCAGAAGTCTGGCTTAAGGTTTAAATACTAACACTTCATATGTGAGACAGTAAGGAGCAGATTAGCCATTAAATCATGCAATTTCAAGATTCGGTGCTGAGCCTAGGGAAAAGCATCTGAAAATAAGAGATGGTAAGATAGGCAAGAATTCACTTCACTTTTTACAAGTGTCAGTTTTAATCTCTAGTGTTTGACAACCTTCAACCTAGGATGTATAGTTTGCAAAATGAGTTTTGTTTTCAGCACAAACCCAACCAAATAAGTCCTGATACAACAGGATTTGTACAAGAAGCAACGAAACCTCTTAGAACAGCTATAGTTGACAAGAACATACTACCTAAGATATGGGATTTCTTCTATTAACTGCTGTGGAGATAAGAGCCACCAACTGGATGAAAGAATGACAACTCAGCATGTAAAGAGGATTGGAAGCTCTGAAAAAAACCTGCTTCCTCTTAGAAATCTAAGACAATGAAAAAAATTACTTTTGGGTACAGCCACTGAAGACATTTCCAGAGCTACATGTTATGCTGTCCATCAAATCCCTGGTGACAAGAAGACATTTCAGAGGAACATTGGACAAACACTTTGGGGGATTCAATTGCAATCTTTTGAGAACTAGTCTTCTGCTCTTTCAGACATTCCTGACTCGACAGCTTCCAGAGCTAATAGCCCAGTTCCCAAGATGGACAGTATTCAGGAATTGCAGGACTTCATTTTTATGCCCCCCCAGAAAAAAACTCACCAAAACCCCAAAAATTCCCACAAAACAACAAGTAAAATAACAATCAAGTTCTCGTCACCATCACACCAGATCACTAATTCATTATAAAGAAGATGAAGTATAAAGACATTTCAACAGCAATCTAGATACTTTACTACAAGGTTTTTTTCCTCTAATCAATATACTCTGGACAAATCAAGTTCACAAACTCTTCAACTAGAAGAATGAATGAAGTAGAAAAAGTGCTTGTACAGAAAAACACTCATACAGAGAAAAATGCAGACTTGGCCCGCAGAGGTAAGGTGAAGTACAACTTCATTAAGTGGTCATCAACTTATCCTGGGCTGCTACTTGCAAAAATACAAACCTCTTCTGTGTTTCCAACAGCACAGCAGAATGGTGGCACAGGCACTTTCACAAATCAGAACAGGGGAACATGAAATACTTGCTTGCCACCATAAATGGCTGTTTTATGTTAAGCACGCCTCAATACAAAAACTATGTAACTAATATGACTCCATCCCACTGAAGCCCAAGATGCCCAAACATAAGCTGTAAATCTTTATTTCTACTACATCGTAGTATTTGGGTACTGGCGTCTGGCATTTTGGAAAGAGTCTAGTTTTTCACACTTGCCTTCCCCCCACCTTCCCTCAAAGCCATAAAAACAACAATAAATCTTAGGAGCTCTAGAAAGACTACAGTTTACTTGATGGAAGAAGGGTAATCTAAGCATCACAGCCACAGTAAGAAGCAGATGTCATCACGGCACCAAAAAGATAAACAAGAACTATGCTGATGCCTCTATTTTAATTCATTACAGCAACAGAAACTCTCATTAGGACAAGAAAGAGGCAAGCAGATGTGCTTCTAGTAGTTGTAAGCCTCACCTAAGTATTTCCCATACTGCTCCAAGACTATTAACTACTCTCCTTGAAGACTGCCTGTAACTGTTCTCCAAGTCTGAGAAAGGAAGAAACACAGGATGATGGTCTTTGTGTGGCCTTTTGGCTCAAAATAGTAATTAAAGAAGTATTTTAGGTGTTGACACCATATCAACATAAACCACCATTTATGACAGTAGGTTCTCCAACTATTAAAGAATGAATACATCACTCCCTTTGTAAAAAGCCTAAGAATTAACTACCTGTGTGTAATGTGTAGACTATCATTCGTGCAAGAAAACAAAAAAGTCCTTTGAGCATATATATTTAGCTTGATTAACTGATCAGAATACAAAGACTCTTCAAACTAAACTGTAAAAATATCTACCTGGACACTGGGCACAATGTGATACTGTAACCAATAGCATGGAGGGAACAGGAAGAACTCAAACATTCTCTTAAAGGTGGATGTTGCACTCTCTAGTAAAAAAAGAAAAATCTCTTTGGAGTAAGTCTTTGCATTTATTAGGACCAGACAGCTGAAATTTCACGTGCAACTCATGCTGTCAGGTTATAACAGCAAGCACTTAGGTAATGTGACAACACTAATTAATCTAAAAGTCATTTTTGAAGCAATCAGTTTGTTGCATACACACACACACAAAATCTGCTTAAGTGGCACTGTGGTTATGTGACTGTGCTGTGCAGGTAAACTGTCCTTCTTGAAAAATAGTCACAGCAATAGTTTGAAGAGCTGAGCAGTCTGTTTCCCAAGATGTGCTGCCTCAAAACCCTAGCTCTTATTACTGCACACTAATAAGCCCCTGATTCCAGTCCTTAGAAACTTTAATTTAGATATAGCTTTTCCATTAAGCTATCAATGCAGATCTTGTATGCAAACAAGAGCTTAGTAGAGCTCTATAGAATATACTTATCATCAGTAGTACATCAGCAAAAGAGGGAGAAGCACGAACAACTAAACCCTGAGACCACCACGTGAATTTACACCAGAAGTATTCAGACAGATGTGTAACAGTGCAAAAGTGTGTGAAATTCTGGTAAGCGAGTTTCCAGTTGGCACATAAATTTATCTTATACATATAGACATGTCTGAGTAGCAATTCCTTTAGCATGGGTCTGCAAGAACTTCGAATCAAGTGGCACCAACACTGAACTGCTCCAGAACTACATCTTTCTTGTGGTGTCGTAAAGAGTAAGAAAGGGGGGGCGGGAAAAAAGGCATCCAGGCATATGAAATAAACAGAGAAGTCACCAAACAGTGGCTTCTCTCTTTGAAGCATTTCAAATGACCAGTGGTTTAAATCATGATTAATTAACTGTTTCAGCCAGGAAATGGTGCCAAGTAGCAACCTGCCCTACAGCACAGATACGTGAGGCTAAGGGAAAGACCTACGATGGAGCACTGTGAGAGTGGGCATTTGTAGTGCTGAGTTCCAGTCTCGCATGCAACACCATTTTAAAGGCAGAAGCTACTCACAAATTGGCATTTTTCGCTTTCTTAAACATGCAAGAAATTCCAACTAAGAAGACAAATTCTTTTCTAGAAATATAAAGACAAGTTACCTAGTATTCATTTTGTGTGTCTGAAAACCTAAATAGGGATCAAGAACCAAACTAGTCGCTAGGTCATCATTTTCACAGAGTTCCTTGGCAGACATTCCAGAGGAAGGCACATAACGACTTTGACCCTCAAATCCTGAAGCACCGCTACCTGCGAACAAGAGAGCATCAATTAGGTATCACCTAAGGGACATTACAAAGCCCAGTAACATTTGGGGACAGACAACCACAGGTTGGAGGCAAAAAATATAAAACGATTAAGGGAGATGATAAAATACCTATAGAAGCAGAGGCGCAGCTAATTTTTCCCTCTTGCTTTTGATGATTTAGGTAGTAGCCAATGAAGAAAGTATTTTAGAATGTTATTTTATGGGGTTAATTAATTTTGGTTTCCTTCTCTCTTTCCTTCCCCAACTACAAGCATCTTTCCAGACTACACAGTTCAGTCACGCCTACCTCTAAAATTTCTGACCTATAAACATGATGAAGACATGAAATTTCAAACCTGACTTTCCCAAGATCTGAATAAAGGACTTAGGACTTTGAATTTGTGTTAAGTCCTTCATCCCAGATCAACAGCAAAAATAAACCCCCATATTCCTTAAAGTCATTTCACAGTGATATGGATGTATGGGACTTCATTAAAAAATGGCGTTTCCTTCTACAAGCGCATTCACCAGAAGTTGGGCTAGTACTTCAAATTATGTTATCCACTTCAAATCATACTTGTTTTTACTTAGGGCCAACCATGTATCTTATAATTATATGAGTTCAAAATTAATTTACACCCAGTTATTCTTACTTAACTTTTAAACTGATCTGAAGGGAGTTAACCCATCCAAAAACCACAAACATAAATAAGACTTGTGATGTTAGCTCCATGCTGACTGCAGACCTCCCCGATGAATTAAGATAAGACAGAAGCATGACTTGCAAACTGATTAATTTATCACATACAGCACTAAGCAGCATAAACATGTACATACATCTGCTTGATCTTCTCTCGACCCCGTTTTTGCCTGTCTTTGGATTCTCCTTTCCCGCATGCTGCAATTTGGTCTGCGCGTGGTCATTAGACGACTTGCTTCCACTTCTCCTGCCATTCACCACCATGTTCTTGGATTCTCCCAGCCACTTCATACCCACAGACAGTCTGACTCAGTTGCATTTAGTCACTTTTCAAAAGGCTTGGAGAAGTGGATGAATAAATTCAGTTCCAATTCCTACTGGAAGTAAAACAAACACGATTAGAACTTACTGGGAAACTGTTTCCGAGACACAGATTTTAACAAAAATAATAATACCCCATAATAATAATAATAATAATAATAATAATAATAATAATAATAATAATAATAATAATACAAAAAAGTGGGGAAAGGGAGGAAAAAAGGTGGTGATCTGCATTTGCATTAGGAAAAAAAGAAGCAGTTCGTTAGCCCTAGCACATGGAACTGTGAACAGGTGAAGTATTGTCCTACAACTTACAATGACAACTGGTAGGAGAGACTGAATTCTAAAGCTGATAAATTGCTAATGACAACTTAATTTCTAAGAGCTGGGCTAGACACACACATGTACCTGTACAAGCACACATACACACAGATAAACACACACAGAGCTATGTGACTCCAAACCCAGAGTACTTCCAAATACATATCTAATTAGGATTATATCCCCTAATAAATAAACCCCATGACCTATTAAGAGCTCCACAGCAAAGAATGAGATTTAAAAGCATCCTTCGAGAACTAAAGATGAACACAGTTTAGAAAAACAAAGGGAAAAAACCCAATTAGAAAGCAGACATTTTTTGAATGGGGTGGGGGAAAGATGTAAAATCTTTATTTAAAAATCAGAGATCAAAAAACCCTCAATGATGACCTCAAGGACCCCGGCTACTATTTGTACTGTTCCATATAACAGAAAATACAGTCACAACACACCTGGTTCAAGGTGACAGTACTAAGTGGGGTCACAAGTAGAGTTGAAATTTCACAGTACATAAATGTCCAGCAAAGCACATGCTATCTTTTGTGAGCAGTCTCAATGTCTTTTGCATAAGTAACCCTAAGAAAGCCAATAATGTTTTTGTACACAGTTGTGCCTCACTCTGTACAACTTGCAGGAAAAAATCTGACGCTGATTTACACAGTTATTTTTGCATTTATGCATTAGTAATTCACTTGATTTTAATTCACCCTCCTCGCTGCTTCCTCACAAAGAAATAAATTGAGCCTTTTCACTTTACTGTAATTATAAAAAGAATGTCAGTGCTCTGCTCACAGCAGGTAACAGGCATATTGTAAAAGGCATTTCAATCTGGTGGAACGATGTCGCAACAAACTAACAGATGTTTGAAATACTGTCTTTTGTAGAAATTCTGCTTTTAATCAGGTAAGAGTAGTGAATTACTAGATTTCTGTTAGACACCTATGTGATCCAGCCACTGAAAACTACAGAAACGTTTATGGCCAGATGACTGGTAAATGAGTTACTTACAGAAATTCAGAAGATTGAGGTAATTAGAGAAAACAGTAGAGACAAGTGTATCACATATTAACAGATGCATTGGCTCAAACATCTTACTAGAACATGTGACCCAGAAATCTACACATCTTAGACCCTTTTACAAATTGTCACAGAAAGACAGTAAAGCCTATCAACAAAGTGCAAAAGTCACTCTGCAAATTGACAAAATTCTTTAGGAAGTTATCAGACAAAGCCTAATAGAAGCCAGAAACTTAAAATTTTCTAGGGAAAACTCTATTCATTGTATTCAGCTATATGCAGAAGCAGACACTTTTACAGAGTACCTCCAAGAAAATCCTTGGATAGGTTGGGTTTTTTTTCTTCACAGAGCTTGCCTGATAACACACATCTAAAAAAGACCACCAACAAAAACCCAAAAACAACCAAACAACCAATCAAAACTTTCCTGTTAAGCATCCCACCTTCTCTCAGAAGACCAACCCTGTGAAGATCTGTCACTGACTGACCATCATGTAAACACTTAATGACAAACTCACTCTTAAACTTCCCTTTTCCTGTTTCCCAATCTATTCATTTTACAGATCTATAGACTCTAACTAAGCCTCACTCCCTGTTTGTAATAGTGGTAATGAAGAGCATTAAAACAAAACTACATTAAAGACTTGCACTAAATTCAGTCTTGGTGTCTTTGTAAACCAGGACTGAACTCCACCCTGTGGTGTGCTACAGCTCAAGGGCAGTACAGGTGAATGAAGTCTACCATGAAGTCTAATTGTAGAATACTGTGTTATATTCAACAATCTGAGGGAAAATGTTCCATAGGGTATTGTTCCTGATAACTAACAGATACAGTAGCTACACTTTTGGCTGAAGGAAAGGTATTTCTGCACTGAGAAAGAAACCCATCTTTCGCAAGTCCAGCTGGGGAGGGTGAGTACTGTCTGTGCTAACACACCTCTGCTTAACCAATAACAGTAGAGACAAGAAAGGTACAAAAGGTAAGAAGCAATGTGGCCATAGGAGAATACTCAAACTATACTAAACATTAGGAGAAACACTTCCTTAAGCTCCAAAATAGATTGATATATACAGCAACATAAGTCCTCCTCAAGCAAAATTAAATAATTTAGTGAAGCCCAGCAAAATTCTAATGAAAAATCATTATTTGTTTGAGCCCGGCAGCCTAATGAGCAAGAAAACCTTTGTCTCCATCTATTGCTGCCTTTTATTTTCTAATAGCAGCCAAATTACCAACTTGAAGACTTCAAGTGTGCTTCTTCCCCCTCTGTTCAGAGACAAGAGGCCACAGGCAGAAACTGATGCTCAGGAAATTCCACCTGAATATGAGGAAGAAGTTCTTTACTGTGTGGGTGACTGTGCACTGGAACAGATTGACCAGAGTGGGTGTGGAGTTCCCCTCACTGGAGACATTCAAGAACCATCTGGATGCAACCCTGTGCCATGTGCTCTAGGATGACCCTCCTTGAGCAGAGACTGGACCAGATGACCCACTGTGGTCCCTTCCAACCTGACCCATCCTGTGATTCTGTGATTCCTTCTCTCAATACACAAACACTGCTTTCAAGAGATGATATCGAAAGCCAGAATCAAAAGACAGGATTCTTTTCCCTGTGAATGTCACAGCTGCTAATACCAACAGAAAACCTAAAAGGGAGCAAGAGACGCCCCACTCATCACCACCATGTGATCTTTCATACATCTTCAGATGTGATTTGCTCTCACTACTTTCTACATCAGACTCATGCTGAGAAGTCCTTTAGGAACTGAGGGAGAAAAGCAAGAGATGAACACTATCTTTCCTACTGAAAAAAAGAAATCAAATACACTTACACCACCACATAATTCGAAATGCTTGCTACAGGGCTCTGCCATCAAAAATATAACACCACATATGGACCACTTATGACTTCAGGTTTATCTACACTGCTAAGTTTACCAGCACAATTAGAGCTTCCAAGGGACCTTTTTTACTTCAAAGTAAATGTCCACACTGCTGTTTTAACCCTACTCTTTACATTTTTAACCACTATTCCTTATAATTACACTGCTTTTTATAATGCTATTACAGTAGTTTTACAGGTATGTTTCCTCAAATGCCAATATTTGGCTCAATTGCATTCAGCACCTCTCACTGAGGTATCTGGCATTTCATTTTAACAGTACTCTCCACGATGAAAACTCAAGTTTCCTTTACCTGTATTTAAATTTATTAAATCCATTAACACGCTTTCTGGGCATTATTTGCATTTCAGTAACATTTGGAAGCACCAATCAACAACTGAAGCACAAACACCATTAATGCTGCCATCACCCAAGATACTCACAAAGCCAGAGTTACCCACAAGTGTCTGCCAGACTGATTAAACAGTATCATTCAGATTTATATTCCATTTGGAAAGCCTTAGTCCTTTTATACAGGGAAGTGTAGTAAATCCCTATGAATTTGAATAAAGAAAGTCTGTGGCTGTTAAAATGTATCTCAAAAGTTGTCTGAGCCTCCTGGATTTTGGGTTCTCATCTGTGAAATCTATCAATTCAGAAAATTCTTGTTGTGAGGGGGAAAAAAGTTGCACAAAACCAAATCATTAAAACTCTAAACCATAGCAACAACAACACTGGTTACTATAAGAAATTCAAGTGTAAATTATTTTAGTCTTCCATAACATAGTTCTTTGCATATAAGTATTTATTACTTAAAGAACAGGGACAGTTTCTAAGATAAGCAGTGGATTTTGTTCATCCTTCTCCAGGACACAAGCAAAGACACTAGGGTCGGGAGGTTTTACTAACAGGCAGGGTCATCCTCCCCTTTCCCATGGTCTCCAGTACACAGGCAGGCAAAGGACCTCCTCCTAAAATATGGTTTCTCAGTATATTTTTTGAGAACGCAAACACCTAAATTTTGGCTTGCCTTTTTTGTTTATTAGTGGCCTAAAGCAAATATAAGACACACAGAAAAACAAACCCAAAAGACTCACTGATGGCAGCCTCAGCCCTTCTGGACAAATCAGTGATATCAAGAGGAAAGATGTGGGTTTCATTATGGATAGCTCTACAAAAAGCAACAGAGCTTTGAATTTGGGAAGCAGAGCAAAACTATGCAAGTAGTTTTCCTACAGGATCACCAGAGTAAAAAAGACTGATCAAAATCAAAGCTGAATGAAACTTTGCACAACTTTAGGGAGTTATTCAAAACAGCCTCAAATCTTATTTTGGTTACTGCCCTTGGGATGTAAATTGGAATGCTCAGTAAATTGGACCCTCAGAAAAAAAAACCTGTTTTTTGAGTGTTTCTTTTCAGCTAGTTAGTTCTGAGAACAGGCTCTGTGCAGAACTGTACGTGGATTAACAGTGGCACTGGGGAGGCTGCAAGATTTTGAACTGACCTGAGCCAGTTTTGACACACTGTCACGGAACTGCAGCCCCAGGATGCAGGTTTGTGAAAGCAAACATGGATCCTAAACTGACCCAAACCCAGGCTTCAGTCTCCCACCAGCAGCTCAGTCTGTACACTCCCCCCTTCTCCTGTGCCAGTTCTTTTGCAGCCACATGATTTGTGTGTGTCAATTTGGATACTAATCCAAGCACAATGCAGGCACAGAAACAATCCAGTACCAGCGCAAGTGAGTGGCAGAGAGGGAATTACACACACAAAAGTGCTTTAGCAGCTCCTGCCCCTGCTCCTCTGCCCCTCCATGTCCTCCACCTGGTGCCCTCTCCGGGTGAAGCTGAGTAACTGGCTAAGCAAAGTTCCCTGAAGCCTGTGGGATCCCCCCAGCTGACTGCAACAACTCCAGCAGACGTTCATAGAGACAATCCAAAACCTCACTGCTTCCAGGAGAGGGAGAACCTCCTTCCTCCTGCTTGTCAATTCACACAGACGTTTCCACCAACTCTAGAGTTCAGGTCTCCACAAGCCAATTTACCTGTGTGTGTCTGTAGCAACATGACTTACACAGCTTCAGTTCAGGGCAGTCCCACCACAGCTTTAGCAAACAGTTCAGTGAAGATGCCAAGCCAGCATTAACAGCAAAAGCAGCCCCCTGCTGCTTCCTCAACTCTTGTGCCCACTTCCATGCCATCCTCCCTCTGTGCCCACAAAACAAATACGGAGCAAAGTGACTCCAATGGTTCGGTGACCGAAGCAAGGGGGGAGTCAGTGAAGCCTGAACGGTGCTGCCTTGAACTGTGGCACAAGAGGATACTGTGGGGCAGGGGGAACACACAGGGTCAGGGAAGTGGTCAGGAGTACTGAAGCTGGGACTTCACCCAAATGCTCTGCATTCTCAAATCACAGCTCTGGATTCACTGCCGAGCACAGAACTATCCCACCTCACACTTACTATGTTAACTGAACTGTCTGTTGCTTTAAAGCACAGTGCTGTTTGAAGTGAAGAGCATACTGGGAATTGTAGTCCTGGAACAGGATAGTGCTAACAGAGCAAAACAAGTATTCAAGAGCCTTGATGAGTCCTGTTACTGAGTATACAAGGACACATCATCCTACTCGTTCATTTAATATGCAATACATTTAGCAACTGCTTTAAATAAATCTGATTTTCCAGTTTGTGAGCTCCAATGGGTGTAAAGCAGAGATTTCTGTGTCTATCTGGTCCTAATAACAAAATAGCCTGATTAAAATAAAAACCAATAAAATCTCACTTTTCAATCAAATAAGCCTTGATTTCTTCACACATTGTTACTTGCAAGGAAGAAATGTCAGAAAACTCAAGAGAAAAGTTCAGTTTTAATGAAAACTGAAGCGGGTGCATCCAGAGCTGTAGTGACTAAATTATGGAAACAAGTCATAGCTCCGTGTGAACTTATCCTACAATACATTTTAACCTCAGTGATTAAAACCTCACACTGTGTATTTATAGTTACCCTATTAAACACTTCGATCAGATTGCCATCTCATAACACAGAATCACAGAATCCATTAGGTTGGAAATGAGCTCTGAGATCATCGAGTCCAACCTATGACCAAACACCACCTTGTCAACCAGACCATACAACTAAGTGCCACATCCAGTCTTTCCTTAAACACCTCCAGGGACAGTGATTTCACCACCTTCCTGAGCAGTACGTTCCAGCATCTAATAACCCCTTCTGTGAAGAAATGCTTCCTGATATCCAATCTAAACGTCCCCTGGTGCAGCTTAAGACTATGTCCTCTTGTCCTGAGACGTGTTGCCTGAATCCAACACACTAGAAAACTCCACAAAGTTCTACATTTCAGGTTCTCACGCTGCCTGTGACACACCTCAACAAAACACCCCGTACTCTCCGCCCGCCTCCGTTCACCCCACGCTTTTAATGCTTCCGAGAGTAACGCCTTGGAGGCAACTTGACGTTAAAGTTTGAGACACAGATGTTGGACAAAGACTCGCCTTACCCCCTTCCTTGAAAGCTTGTATTCCCCGATGAAAAAATCACACACACAAAATAATAATAATAATAATAATAATAATAATAATAATAATAATAATAATAGACAACCCAAGACCTCAGGGATGTCCAGCAAACTGAGGCAAGCCCGGGAGGGTCACTCCAACCAGACCTGAAACTCCTGGCACGGCAGCCGGGCTGACCGGGCGGAAGGGGCGCGGGCCCGGCCCCGGCCCGGGCGGCACCGCCCCCGCCCGCTGTGCTGCCCTCTGGCGTTCGC